TAGCAGTACTGGAGGGTGCGGAAGTGTTAGGCTATTTTTGATAATTGGTCTCTTTTTCTAACTGGTTAACTGCTCATGATTTCAGCAAATTATTCTGTTTTCAAGTCTAATGTAAATTTCACTGATCTTTCCCCTTCCACTGTGGAACTAACAGTTCAGGGTCCAGGATGACACATGTTTGACAATAGGTGAATTGCTCTTCTGAATCTGTTTTTAGTAGCAAAGAGATGAACATCTAGTTGTCCTGACAGCACACATTTTGGTGTGAAGTTTTGTGTTTGGAATTTGTCTTACTTTTGTTTCTATTATATCAATATTTTCCCAAGATTCTAATGTGATTAAGTTTACAGTTAAGTTTGTAAGCATTGGTTACAGTGGAACAGATTAAAAACTTTCATGTAGATTTTTGGGCAGCATCTGCACTATAGAAACTACTAATTGACTGTGGGTGGTAAAGGCAGTAGCCGCTTCTCAATCTGTCAGTTGTCTGGCATGAGTTACTGCACCTGTTGAACTCAGCTGAGGACACACTAGGACAAGTGCATTTAATACCAGATGTGTGTCATTGCACTTTCTGTAGTGTAGATAGCCTTGCATTCAAAAGTTGTCCATCTTAATTGTTCTGGCTTTGAAAAAACAGCGATAAGTTTACCTTTTTAGTTACAGGGAAAAAAAGCATTGTGTTTCCATACCCTATATGTTTTGCTTCCCTACCCTATTTGTTTGGTGTTACTAAACTTTTACTACAAACATTACTTGCATTACAAAAATAAAAACTGACTAGTGAAATTGAGTTTAAAGACTTTATCAACCAGGTGTAAAATGGTGCCATCTCATTAATAATTTCTCATTTTAATTCTTCTCTCCCTTATAAATGTCCTTGGCATGTTGGTGATGCACAAACTGTTCACCTCTAACTGTGGCTTGATATAGCAGAGGAAATCAGTTGGATTGTCTTAGAATTATAGAATTATAGAACTGGAAGGAATCTCCGGAGTTCATCAAGTCCAGTCCCCTGCTCTCATAGCAAGACCAAGCACCATCATTCTAGATCATACCTGACAGGCATCATATCTGAACATTATCAGTCTTGGAGCACCATTTATAATAGCTTTTTGTATGGTTTGGCAGTGCACTGCAGATGAGGCACTCATGAACCTTTCTGGGGAATAAGCTGAGCTAGCTAGAGAGGTGAATTGCTTTCAGGTCAAAATTAAGATGTTAGTCTTGTTGACAGAGTTTCATGACTATGGCCAGTAAAGTTATCAATAACTGAAATACAAGGAATTTCAGTTTCCACAGAGTCTGATTCATATTCTTCTCAAACAGATGTTTCACAAACAAAACAAAATTCTAGCTATATGGAATGCTTTCCAAGTCAGAGTATGTGTTTCCCCCCCCTTGCCCCCATTTAGAGTGATAAAGCTATAGCTCTATCTCATAGTTGTCTTACAAAATGAAACTGCTGCACCTTCCACTATTAGCATTAGTATTTCTTTTGGTTTCCATCTGCAGAAAGGCTCTTTGTTTTGAAGTCCAAATTGATGTTTTTCTTATTTATGAAACTATTACTGAGTTGTAAGATTAGGATCTTTACTCTGCAGGGAGAAAAGTGTAAATAAGATATTCTTGTTAACTGCAGTGTATTTATCACTGAATTACTAATAGTGGTGAAAGCATCCTTTTACTTTTTTTTTAAGTTGCATTTAGACCCTCTCCCCTTGTTTATTAAATCACTAATGCAATGGTGCTTCTCATTGCATATATCTCTTTATCTTAAAAACTAACAAAACACGTAGATGGTATCATGAGCTTTCATGGGCACGACCCACTTCTTCAGATGACCAGTCATCTGAAGAAGTGGGTCGTGCCCATGAAAGCTCATGATACCATCTACGTGTTTTGTTAGTTTTTAAGCCAGTCATCTGAAGAAGTGGGTCGTGCCCATGAAAGCTCATGATACCATCTACATGTTTTGTTAGTCTTTAAGGTGCTGCTAGACTATTTGTTGTTTTTAAAGTTTTTCCTGTTACAGACTAACTCGGCTACCCTCTGAAGCTCACTATCTTAGTCTTTTCAGTCAAAAACTGTTGAATCGAATTTCTTCTCATATTTTAAAAGTATTGATGTTGCCAGTCTTACTTTATTGGGTACGTTAATATCATTTTTAAAGACTTTGTCAACACTTGAAGCCATTGGTTCATTGTGGGGAGAAAGGGTGGTTCTGGGCCTGTGGCTATTCTTTCTGCTTTAAACACCTACATGAAAAATCCCCCAAATTGCTGAAAGCAGTGGAACCTTCAATTTCATCATATGTAAGATTCCCCTTCCTGCCACCACCATCTGTAGTGATGAGCTTCCAATAGTCATTCTTACTGCCTACTCTCACCCATCAAGAAATCTAATGTTAAGACAATGCTGAGTGTGAGATTAAAGTCTTAAATGTTTGAGTACTTGGAAAAGTATGGAGAAAACTAGTTCTTTTTGTCTTATCTCCGCAGAACATGGTACACAGATCTTGTAGAAAGACTAAGGAAGTTATGGTGTGTGGGAGGTAGAATCTTTTATTTGTTATTGGAAGCATGAATATGCTTGGAATTTTAAGGAAAAACTCAATTTTCAGTGCAGTTGCTTCAAGAGGCCAAAATTACAACTTCTTCTGTGTCTGATTGCCCTATTCAGTTTTATTTCAATGCAGTAGAAAACTCATTCATTCACCAGATGGAAGCACATTTTATGATCTGGAGACTAGGCATAGGAAAGGCTCCCAACTAAAACTGTATTGAAAACTTGTTCTTATTTCTTGTGGTTATCTTTGTTTTTTGGTTTGATTAATTTTTGGAGTAGGATT